TCCAAGAGAAGTGGTGCTGGCTCCAACCCTGGGGGTCTTTAAGAGGAGTCTAGATGAACACCTTGCTGGGGTCGTTTGACCCCAGTGCTCTTTCCTGCCATGGCAGAGGGTCGGACTTGATGATCTGTCAAGGGTCCTTCTGACCCTACAAACTATGAAACTATGAAATACCCATTCACACCAAATGAATGAATAAATGGCTTTAAGTGAACTGGCCTGCACTTAGCACTGCCACTTTCCAGGAAACAAATGCCACTCATTTTTCTATGATTACGAGGTCTTGTATCCTTGTGGTCTGACACTGCAGCTATGGGCCTAACTACAAATAGATTTTCAGGAAATTGGCCTTCTTCATCCAGAATTTCTACTGACACAACTGATCAGCCCACGTCTGCAACAATAAGCCTTTCCTACCAATCCATGTTGGATAAGGTTCTTGTATAGAGAAGCAGAGTCAAGTCCAAATTAATGGGCACCTAAGTGGGATCTTTAAGATCCATACAGGAATGAGACAAGCGTGCCCCCTGTCACCACTACTATTTGTGTAGCATGGGACCATTAGCGTAAAGAATAAGAAAAGACAAGGTCATAAGCAGAGTAAACATACTGGGAGGGGGAGAGGTAAAATGCATATTATACATGGATGGTATAAATGTAGTAGTTAGAGAGAAACTTTTGATGGAAAGGGTGCTTAAGCATGCATCAGAATATGGAGAAGTGACAGGGACTAAACTAAATAGATCAAAAAGTACCATAAAGAGCAGTGGGGAACTGGATGGACTTGGATATGTTGGGTTTTCAAATAAGAAAGAAAAATCAGTGTGCTAGGGAGCCCAATGAACACTGAGATAAGGTGACATCAAGGCTACAGCAGATATTTTAGTTATGATCCAGAAGGACACTCTCCTTTGCTGGAAAAAGTGGCAGTATTTAAGGCTGTGCTACTGCCAAATATTCTATAAAGGAATTGTATTTCCACCAATGTGGTGGCAGATAGCAAAAGTACAGAAGGAAAAGTGTGTGCTCTCCTGGAATGCCAAAAGAGATAGGTTGGCTAGAGCTGAACTGTACAAAGCAAGAGATAGAGGGATAGGGGCAGCTGGGTTTGGGATTGTTCATCTATGCAAAATATGTAAGCACAGTACGCAAGGTGGTAACAGAGGGAGAGGGAAAAGCAGTGTGTATCCCCCGATTTCACACAGCTACAATTCTGAGGAAATGGGGAGTATATCAGACCTTTTCAAAGAGTCCACAGGAGTGGCAACCGCTGACTTATTACATCAAAATGGAAGGATTCATGCAGAGGTATAAGATAGGGAAGGTAGGACTGGATGTCCTGAAGGATAGTAAGAAATTGATGAAAGCAGTAGCAAAGAAACAAGATGGCACCAGTGGGAAACTTCACAGAAGAACAAGTGAAGAAGGTATGGGGAGCGAGGGTGAGTAAACAACTAAAAGGCAAACAGTCTGAACAAGTGTGGATGGCTGTAGGAAATATCTTGCCAGTAAGAGAAGTGCAACAAAGAAGGGACTTGACAAGCTCATCAAGGTGTTCAAGGGAGATGTATGGGGCAAAAGAAGTGGTGGTATGTGTGTTTTGGGAGTATTCATGTACAAAAAGGGTGTGGGAAAAGATCCACCACTCTGACTGTCACCAAAATAAACCTGCCATTAGCATAGGAGATGGTAGTATATGGACTCATAACAAAGGGACTGAAGGAGATGTTATTAAGGACTTTATTAACATATGTTAAAACTAATTTATGGAAAGTAAGAAACCTCTGGGTTTTTAAGGGGGTGGCTTTCACTGAAAGTGTAGGTTGATAAGTGTGTTTTTAATAAAACTTGTAAAAACAATGTTCCCATCAGTATATTCAGCACCAGGGAGGGTGTTGGAGCTTGCTCTGGCCTCTCTAAGTACCGGCTTGGTATTGCAGTACCTCCAGGCCTGGTGCTCGTTCTCTCATTAAGGGAGCAACTGCCTGTTTTTTTCAGGAGCCGCACAGAAAAAAATGTTTAGTATGTTTGCCTAATATGGGCTATGTGGCAGCAGTTTAATGATGGACAATGGATTTAATGAGGCTTCTTTGTATGCATATGTAAGATGAGGAACCATTTTCCCTCCATGCTGATTGGGGAATAAAGCTCATCTTATGTTTGAGTAACTACAGTAAATTGGAAACTTCTGGGGACCCACCAGAAAACCTTTCACCCAAGGGCTGTAACAGGTACCCTACACACTGCACTGTGGACAATAGGACTTCCAAGGATCCCTGGATACCAGTGCCTTCAGCTGTTTGCGTAGCTTGTGATAAGCCCTAACTTGTGCAAACACTCATATTCATAATAACTGAACACTGCCTGTACAACTATTAACAACTATCACAATACAAAGCTCTTGTCCTGAGCTTGGACAGTCATAACTATATGTTTGTTCCTATCTTTAGTTATCTAAATGTTGCTGCAGCTGATAAAAATCATCACTCACATATGTACACTATGTTTCCACAATAAAGTCCAGTAGGATGCATTTAAGTTCAGACTTTCAGAACTGTGTATGCATTTCTAGATATAGCAATGATCACGTAACTGTATGAAAACGGATGGTTAGGCAGATTCCTATGTATGTGGGGTTTTTTTTTAAGTTAAGCATTCTAACATTATTACAAATCACTAGGCAAGCAAATATGCATACAACTCAGCAGATTTTTTTTAAACAACTTAGACTTTCCATACATACTTTCTAGAAAACAGAAGTCACTAGAAAATAAAACTAGTACTTTACATAGTTTATACTAAAAACATTTTCTTCTTAGTACAGGCATAACTGTATTAACATATGTTTTTTCATAAATGTCCTACTTCATGTACTCATTATACAGATGCCTAACCAATATGTTTCTTATGGAACCTCTCTCTTTACACCTCTCATAAGCTAAATTTAAAGGAGTATTGGATACACTACTATAATTTTTTTTAATCTACATGAGGTCATACGCAGACATTGTTGAGGAAGTAAGGTAAAAGCTGATTTTCCTTAAGTTAACACAGAAACATATTTTCCCAATTCCTAGATTTTTAAACTGTATTAAAGAGTTTGGATTGGTTGCACTCTCAACTAAAATCCATTACAAATATTAAAAAAATATATATTTTAGAGAATGTATTATAAACCTACCCAGTACACATGCCAGCACAATGTCATATGCTCACATGTTATCCTAGTATGTTACTACAGTGTGGTTTTCTGGATTCAATTCATATCAATGATTTTCAAGAATTCTATTGCATACATACTGCATTGTGTTGCACGCTAGAGTAAGATGCTTTATGTGTTTATGATACATTTGAAACAACTCTGTAAGAGTTTATGAATTGTGTATGAATTGGTAACTGGTAGGTTTACCTTATACATATATTTATCTAATTCAGTAACAGGACTGTCAGGAAATGCAGGCATAAAAGTAACTGTCCCTTGACAAACCCTTAGTTTAATGTAGCCCTACTAACTCCTGTTGAGCCAATCAAATCAGTTTAACCAGGCTCAGGAAAACAGGAGAACAACAGAACTTGGATTAAAAGAGAATCCCAGGAAAGTCTACAAGACTAAAGGAGGAGGATGGTTAGACTCTCTAAGTTATACAGACACATGTTTAAAAACCATTTATCTTCTGGTAAGCTTTGTTTCTAACGTTAAAGAGTACTCTGCTTTCAAAAGCTGTTTTGGTGTCACGAGCTCCCAAAGGAAAGAACCACAACTGATGCACAAAGTACTGTCACTTATGAGACAACCCAAGAGCAGATGAATCATGGAATTCCACTTTCCAGAAAAGATATGACAAGACACTTAAACCCCAAAAGTTTGCAGCCAGAGACACGTTTTCTGTTAAGAAAAATGAGACACAGAGGGTAAGTGACTCATTTTCTGGAGATCACATAGCAAATCAGTGCAGAGCCAAGAATTCTGTGTCCCAGTCCTCTACTCCTGTCAGCATGCTGCTGCGTTTACATATTAATTATTCTGCAAAGATGTTTCTAAACTAGTTAGTATGCCAACCTTTCACTTACCTCTTGGCTTGTTTTCTGGCCTGCCTTCATGTAGAAAATGAAAACAGTATCAAAAGGACGACATGGCAGCAGATCCAAGTAGCCAAGGTCATCAAAAAACCCAGGAAGAGTAGATTCAAGTGCAATCAGGTGGGGAGGTAGACGACTGTTAGCAGGTTCCTACCCAGTACACAAAGAGCTTTGTTTTTAACTATTAAAAAACCCTTTTCATTAATAATGTTCTGTCTTGGTTTCATAATATTTATTTTTAAAATAAGCCCCCCAAAATGAATGCGATTTATTTCTAGATAAGATCAGAACAATAACTTAATTTCTAACACAAAATAACTTAGGGATATCAGTCTGTGATATCACAGAAGTCATGGTTCACATTAATTTGCTAAGATGCTTCTGATATTTGTGATGTTGCAATTTTTTGTACAGTTTCTCCAATGAAACTTGAAATACCTCAGCTATTTCTTTGAAAAAATAGGAATGTTTGATTTTTTTTTTTAATGCTTTCACCTAAAGCCACATTAGTGAGGAAGCCAAAATGTACATGTATGGATCACTGCAGCTCTGTTTCATGTGGAATACAAGATCTGATTTACATAACATTATTACAGAAACATTTAGGATAAGTGACTATGGTATCCAGATGAAACTGCTGGGATAATTGCAAGTAAATGATATGTAATTACCCCAATTTATGGGGTATTTGCAAAACCAGCTTGTAGCTTCTTCATCAGGAGCTTTCATTCAAAGCTTGAAGCATGAGCCTTCCACATCCCTAGCTTCCAAAATGCTAAGTTGAGGTGTTCACATCTAAAAAGTTTGCTGGATGTGTTAACTTGTATCTAAAAAGACAACAGCTATCTACCAAAGACAAATCCTCCATTCAGTAGTATAATTAAAGGGAAGACAACACAGGCACCAGTCCTGGTGCTGACCCTGGGAAAGGCGAATAAATAGAAGTGTCTGTGCTGCAGGATCAAATGCTGTCATGCTGCTGGCAGCACAGCTAGTGACACTGCCCTGTGCAGCACTGCTATCCAGGGTGATCAGACATCATTAGCATCTTTACACATGCTCTGGGGTGTGGGAAAGGACAGCATTTTAATTAGAGTGGCTCTCAGGAGTCACTCTAATTAAAACACCCGCAGCATCTCATGTATTCAGCATTCCACACTTCAAAATGGTAGCGGGGGCACTTTAACTAAAGCTTGTTCAATGAGCTTTAGGTAAAGCACCCCTGCTGCCAGTTTGAAATGCAAGGATGCTAAATTCATGTGATGCTAAGGCTGCTGGACCATTCTAATTAGATTAATCAAATCTGTTCCAATGCATTCTAATTGGAATGCATCAGAGCAGGTATTGGGCATGTGTATAAGCGTCCATAGTTACACCTCTGCTTCCAACCCCAAAATCATAGAGTCTGTGTTGTCCAGATTTTTTTTTTTTTTTGGATACTGAGGTCATTTCTACAATACAAAGTATACAGTCACCTTCAGTGCCTCAAGTGACAGAAATCCAAAGTGTGACAGGAACAGGCGTGCTGTCTGGAACTCCTGTGCAGGAGGTGGAGGTTTGCACTCGGTGACTGGGTCAGGGAAGCTCTTCTTGCGCCACTCCTCTTCACTCTTCTGGTCTATGGAAGTCTCATAAAAAATCTGTTGGGCCATGCCGTTCCTCAGCTTCTCATGTCGTTCTTCCAACTAAAAGACATTTCATTTATATGGAATGCTCATTCCAGTAACAATTCTTTAAAAGTATCTCAAAGGACTTCCTAACTACATCACACCGAAGTAAACCACAAGACCTGACAGCTCCTGTTACTTTCTCACACACCCAAATCATTTCCTAAAGGACTCCTAATGAGTGCTACAGGCACTCTGGATGAGGGTCAATCACCTGACCTGAAATTCCCTAATCGATACCTTGTTTGCATCACAGTTGTTGCAAACATAACATGCTCAGGATTAACTTTGGCAGCAGCAAGTTTTCCACTCTCCCAAGGCAGCAAGCACAGCATCCTTTCCACTTCTTCAGAAAACAAGTCATTGCTTCATGGGTTACAAACAGACATGTTCCTTGTCATGGGAGATTCTCAAAGGGCAAAGCACGAGTGTTCAGATGTCCTTGTCGCTTGTCATAGGACAAAGCCCCCAAAGGATTTGCATGATAAGAGGTACTAACAGTTTGACCCACAATATCATCAAGGGATAAGTAAACTAGTCAATCCTCTATGCATCCCACAATGCACAACTTCAACTCCAATCCTGGACCATTCAGAGGTGTCAGGCTCCTGATGACTGCCACTACCTACTAACTGCCCTGCACAGTGACTTCCCAAACATTTCATGCTCACCATGCACTCAAGATCTGAGTCACCATGCATCACAGCCTGAACACAGCATTCAATGAACCAACCTCAAACACCACAAACTCCTGGGACCTCCATCCACCTATGCAGCTGTCTGTCAGGGAGGTCACCATCCACCACCGATCAAGGCAAGATCGTATTTCTAAACCGCCATACACCCAGTCATCTTCCCTCTGCCCTGGCCCTCTTAATCAGAGTGCACCATCATGAACAAGCACCAGGGAAGAAGTACTGAATATCACCGTCTATAGTGAGATTGAGAAATAGTGGGTGCTTTGGTGAAGCTGCCAAAACAAGGTGGTCTATGAATGGACTGCAAAGAAAATGACAGCTTGAAGACATAACCATGACTGGGCCCAGTGCTAGTCCAAGTGCAAGATACTGAGGTAGCAGTTTGCGAGGACATAGGACAGCAACTGTGTGTTGGGCACATGCAGAGTCATGTGAACCCATAAGGAATTTACCTGCATCTTCATAGTCAACAACATGGTCACGTCTGAAAACACAGTGGACACAGTGGTCTGTTCCCTCTGAGAGAGAGATGAGAACTCCAGTGCAACCACAGTTGAAGACACACAGCCCTTGCAGGCCAGCGCAGCAACCTGGGAGATAAGCCAGACTGGGGACTGGGGTCTCAAGTCCATCCTGCTGAGATGAGCAGACTCTGAAATGGACCTGGGCTCAGATAATGAGGGCCTGGAGTGTCTTGCCCTCCCTACCCTTCATGTTCAGCATTCCAGCCAGCCCTCTCCCAAAAGTGACTCAGTATCCCAGAAGACCTAGCCCGCACCAAGACAAATCCCACTTCTGAGGATTGGCAGCCCACTGTTACAGTTGGGTAGACAGAGGTCAAACAAAAAAGGGGTGGTGGGAAAGAAGCCAGAGCATTCTGGAATCTCAATGGTTTCCTGGGTGGTTGAACTATGGACCCCTTCCCCTCTGCCACCCACAGAATTGCAGCTTGAATCTGTGCTCAAGCCACATGGCTGCATTAGGGGATTGCCCTGCCTAGCTCCCACCCAATCCAATAGTGGTAAAAGCTCCTGGTCACAGTCAGTGGTGGCAGCACAAATGCAGCAAAATAGAGTGGGTGATCAGGGGTGCAAGCTGCACAGTGAATTGTACCAGTCTCTCCCACAAAAGTGTCACCACTCACAATTTGAACAACCAATGGGCCCTGTGCGTGGCACTAGCAGATTCAGGGGAACCAATGGGTGACTGGTGCCGCCTTAGTCAGGGTGGGTATGTGCCCCCCCAGCGACCAGTCCGCGGGGGGGGGAGTTGTCCCCGTGGCCAATCTTGCTGACTGGGGGGGTCCCCTGCAGTAGATCACTGCAGCTGCTTCCAGAAGGGCACCCCCTACACATCACCACTGGGGGAACTCATGAACATTTGGCCAGCACCAGGCATGCTGGGATGCGTGCTCCCTCCAGCCACCTGCTGGAAGTGCAGTGGTGCATTCAGCCACTCTGGTACTGACTAGTAGGGTGACATGTAGACATACTGATGCCAGGACTTCTCCATTCCAGAAGTCACAGCACAACCAGTCCTGCAATAAATGAAACTTCTGTTTACAGCCATGGTACAATGGAGTGCCAGGATTAAAGATTAAAAAAATGCTACTCTGTAGTTCCTAACAAGCTAATAATAGGCAGGGTCACGTCACAAATGCTGCCATCATCTCTGGATAGTTCATAGGCCTAATTATTCCGGAATGAGTCCAGGTCCACCATAACATAAATATAACCTTCTAAAGAAAGCATGAGTGTTACGGGCACTGTACAGCGTGAAATTCACCAGACAGGCAAACACAGGAAAAAAATCTAGATTATAAACCTCTTACTTCCTCATTAACAATTTCGTGGAGGTCTGGAATGCTTAAGTCAGCTTTTACAAATGGAATTTTGTCCACCTCTTCAGGAAAGGGTCGGTGCTTCACGGTGTATTTGAGCCCAACGTTGTTTTTAGGAGTTGGTCGTGGTTCTGGTATGAACATCTGCTAGGAAGAGAGCAATTTTACATCAAACACTTCACATTATTGGCATAATACAAAGGCACAACATTATACAAATAATTATTTCTAACATAAATGTTACAAATTCATAATCTGTAAGAAAGCATTCAGAAAACTGAATATTTAGACAATTATTTTAACATTTTTTAGAATTATATTTAATATTGCCTATACTTTTAAAATCTTTAATTTTTAAAAATATATTCAAGCCCTATTTATAAAGGTAGTTCCAGTTAGCATACCCATAAGCCCTGTTTTAATCTAATTCTGTGCCATTATGAATTTTAGTACCGTTAAAAATCCCCACAAATTAAACAGTAGCTGCAAGTTTGTTGCTTTACTTTGTTTTCAGATCACATGAATTCTAAAGAGAGCTAAGTTTATTTCTGGTAGAATTTTCTATTTGGTCCCCAATGAATTGGGACAAGCAAAAGGAA